TTTTTTTTTAATATATATTTTTGCCAAAATAAGATTGCACTTTAATTTTGTTTTTTTCCATTAACTTTTTGAACTCCCCCTTCCATCTTCGCTGTGGAGCAGAAATGGAAGCTCTGCTTGTCCACTCTCCAACTGCACAGGCACACACAATCCATCCAGCCATTCCTCACGTGGCTGTTGTTTGACAACACTCTGTGCTGCTCTGGGGATTCTTCCCCTTTAGTCCTCTCTTAGATCTGGCCACGAAGGCACAGGCTATTGCTCTCAATGGGAGGAAAAGGAGTTACCTGATTTCTTATAATTTTATTGTTAAACATAGCAAAGGGATTCTTCTTTTTTTTTTTAAGTTTTGCCTTAGGGCATGTGCACTTACCATACTTGCCGGAGAGAGAAAGAAAGACAGAGACAGTGAGAAGGAAAGTAAGAAATTACCCCCAATGAGGGATGGCCATGCTGCAATCCTTTCTCCTCCACTCTCCTCCCAGAATCTTGGGCATGCATACACACATACCTGGCATGATTTTCAAGCCACCTTGTTCAGGACTCCAACCATGTGAGAGTACACTGAAGTAGCCATCTGCTGGTCCTGCAAAGGGATTCGTCTATTTCTGAAAGTATTTAATTTCCTTAACAGTGAAAAAGGAAGAAGTTTAAAATTAGGAAGGAAGACATGTTATGGTGGCAGATTAATATACATATCTGAGAAATGAAGCAGAGAAAGATAACAAGGGTGAAGAACCAATATATTGATTTAATATACAGATCTTAGTATGAGAGTTGAGCCTAGAGAAGATGCAATAAATCCTAGGGACAGGAAGAAAAGAAAGAGAAATGTGAGGATATTTCACCAGAATTAAAAAATAATTTCTTAAATATAATCAAGTCAATTAGATAATCCAAATTTGATTAAGTTCTGAGAACTAAAGTTACTCATAAAACAAAAAAAAAATTTTTTTTTTGAGAGGTTTTTGCTATAGGGTATGTGCGCTCGCCAGACAGACAGAGAGACAGAAAGTGAGATATTACCCCCGAAGGGGGATGGCCACGCTGCAATCCCTTCTCCTCTCTGCTCCTCTTGGGATCTTGGGCATACACACACATGCACCTGGCGTGAGTTTTAAGCCACCGGGTCCGGGACGCAAACCGCAGTTGACTACGTAGGAGTCCAGCGACTTAGCCATTACGCTAACTGCTTGTCCCCACAAAAATAATCTTATAAATAGAGATTGGTGACTTTAAATAGGGACATATTTCTTATTACTAATTTGGACAACTGCATTTAATTCATAGTCATCATTTTCCTTTTAGAAAGGGATCTATAGGCCAACAGGTGGTAAGGCTCTGGATCCCACATGGCCAGCTCCACGGTCCAAGTCCCATACCTGGTGGCTTGAAGAACATGTTCTATGTATGTGTGTGTGTGCCCAGAATCCCAAGAGGAGAACGGAGAAGGAATTGCATAATGGCCATCCCTACAGGAGGTGATTTCCGACTTTCCCTCTCTCTGCCTCTGTCTCTTTCCTGCAAGTTCACATATGGTATGGCAAAATTTAAAAAAGGAAGAAAGGAAAATAAGCTAGGAATCAGAAGATGCAAAAATAAACAGAAAGTCAAATTATTCTCAAAGATAACTAGCTGCATTGCTCTATAGAATTTATTGATTAACCATCCTTCCCACATTTTAGAGTGATACAAAAGTAAGTGGCAATGGACCAGCAGTTAGCGTAATGACTATGTTGCTGGACTCCCATGTAGTTGACCACGGTTCGCATCCCAGACCTGGTGGCTTAACACTCACGCTGGGTGCGTGTGCATGCGTGCCCAAGATCCCGAGAGGAGAATGGAGGAGAAGGGATTGTGGCATGGCCATCCCCCCTGGGGGTGATTTCTCACTTTCTGTCTCTCTGTCTCTCTCTGTCTGTCTGGCGAGCACACATGCCCTATAGCAAAAACCTCTCAAAAAAAAAAAAGTAAGTGGCAAAAGTGAGTTTTCAGCAACCACAATGATATTACTATCAGAATAGGAGTGAATATAGGCAGTGGAACTGGGTTACTTGACAACATGGTGTGATTCAAGGTCAATGCCTTCTAAATTGTTATATTTTTTTTAAAAAATTTCTTTAAAATAAGAGATTTTTTTTGAACTGTTTTTGAAATAAATGTTCACTACCTTTGTATGTATCCATGGGCAAATATTTGTGTGTGTATGTGTGTACTTTTCTGTTAATATATGTTATAAAAGTCTTCAAACACAAAGAAAAGTCGAATAGCACCGCAAATGCCTGTGCCTTCTCCATCTAGGCTCACCAATATTTAACATTTTAAAATATATATATATGCATATTCATATATGTACACATATTCTTATATGCACACACATATGCCGTACTTAAGTACTTGACAGAATTATGCTACTACACATCTTAATCTGTTTCTCCTACTATATCAAAATACCTATTGGATAATTTATTTTAAAAAATAGACATTTATTTGTCACAGACTAGAAACCTGGCAGGTTTGAGTTCTGATGAGGACCTGGTCTCTGCTCCTAAGATGGAGCTTCATACTTTAGAGAGGGTGAACACTGTCCTCACACATGGCAGAATAGGTGGAGGACCAAAAAGGGCCTGATTTCTCAAGCCGTTTGATAAAGGTACTAGTCCACTCGAAGGCACACCCCTCATGATTTAATCAAGACTAAAGGCCCCACCTCGTAATACTTGGCTACTAGATTCCAACATAATTAATTTTGGAGGGACACCTATATTTAAACCATAGCATTCCTTTGTACTCCAGCACGCATCTTCTATGAGTACATTTTTCTACATAATCAAATGCCTTTATAAAATTTAGAAAAATCAGCTATCATTATTTATTTTAATATTCCAGAGTATGTGTACCATTGCTTCCCCCCTTGAAGAAAGAGAGACAGGGAAGGAAAATGAGAAAGCACTCTCTCCCCATGGGACACGGTCATGCCACAGTCGTTTTTCCTTTATTTCTCCTTCTTGTTAGTATTTGGGCATGCATACACATGTACCTGACATTTTTTTTCTTTATTTTTTCTTCTTTTTATTATTTTAATTTACTTTTTACATTCAATCACTATAAATCAATGCATCTTTTAAAACAAATTTGCCCAGCATGAATATACTTCACAGCTGCGTAATTGAAGATATCATACACGTTTTCAATCTGTTAGGGCCAGGACTCCAACTGTGGGTTTGGCTGTGTGGAATTCAGATTGATCAGCTACCTCAATCACCAGAGGCCATAATCTAGTTCAACATTTAATTAATTAATTTATTAATTTATTTATAATTTTTGTCACAGGATGCCTGCATGTGCCAAGGTGAAAGAAAGGGGTGGCAGGGGAGAGAGAGGAAACAAGGAATCCTCCTCCATGAGGCATGGTCGCAATCCATTCTCCTCTGTTTCTCCCTCATGTTGGGATACTGGACACACACATACATACCTGGTGTGTTTTTCAAGCCACCAGGCTTAGAACTCATGTGGGATCTATCTGCCTTACACCACACCAACAGCTGGCCCCTACTGAACTTTTCCTCCCTGAACTTGGATAGGTTCACCCATTGCATTGGATTGTCATGGCTCACACGTCTCTTTTGATTTCTCCTCCCTGTCTTTCTGTTTTTTTCATCTTATAATATTTTGAAAAGCCTACACTTATTTTGCAGAATGTCTCCTGTTTGAACTTTATTTGGTTATTTATGGTTTATGTTATTGTTGCTGTTGTTTTCTCCATCCCCTATATAGCTTGTAGATCAGAAATTAAGTATAAAAACAATTTAGATTAAACATCACGTATATAAATTATATTACATTAATATATGAGCTGAATAATTACAAGTTGTCCCACTACTAATGTTAAGTTTAAATATTTGGCTAAAATTTGATTTTCAAATTTTTCTAGTGCGAATTAAAAATTCCTAGAGGATACATACTAAGTAATTTTGAATACAAAAACCAAACTGCTTTCATGTCATAATTCATTTTACAAAGAGTTATTTAAGATATATTTATGTTAATAGCATTTGAAGTTGTATACAAATATGGCTATTTTTAGGGTAGTTGTAAAATGTTATGTGTAGTTTTATTCACAAGCATATTTAATGTAGAAATTTTATCTTTTAAAATAACTCTTTTGAATTCTGGATTAATGTTCTTGTTTCAAAGAAAATATTAGCTTTAGCAGTTTTGCATTGATTTGTGGTTATCATTTTTCTAACAAGGTGAGCTGGGTAGACTGTTTGGTGCTCTGGACTGCTCTCAGCGTGAACCTCATCCCAGCAGGAGGGCTACACTAATAGTTCCTATACCAATTGCCCAATCTGCTAGAATATAAATTATAAGGGGGAAAAAAAAAAGAAAAGTGAGTCACTATGTTAGTTGAAGAAATAGAGATGATCTAGATTCTGAGGGCAATTAGCTTTAACCAAAAAAAAAAATCAATTTACATTTCCATATAAGAAAGTTAAAATTCAGAGACCTGTAGGGTCCTTCCTGTGAGATTTCTCTGTAACGTAAGCAATGCGTACAATTCCATAGGCAAACACTAAACAAATAAATACATTCTCCACCTAAGAAGCTAGTTACAATTCACTTTGAATAATTGGATTTTGCCCTTTTATGTTATTATTATCTTATTGCTTAGAGGGATCTGATTTTCTTCTCTAGAAAATGTATTACGGAGTGAGCAGCAGGTGGCATAGTAGCTAAGGTGCTGGACCCTCCCACATGGCCAACCCTGGTTGCTTGCTTTCCCAGTTTCCCTCTCTCTCTCTATTTCTCTCTGTATCTTTCTTTGCTCAAATTAAGAATAAATGAATAAATAAATAAAGTTAAATAAAAAAGTAATTATAACAAGAAAAGAAAATACTTTACAAAAAAGAAAATGTATTATGGACATAAATACAAAGTCAGTTTTCTCAAAAATGTAAAATTATGATGGTGATATAAATTATTCTCTACATGCCTAGGAGACTTGATTTGAGGATGAAAGCGTCTTATTCAGAGATACCTGCTTCTTTTGACTTTCTGGCCTCACCATTCAACTATTTGCATTAATTTTCATCAGCTATATTCATTGGCTGTAGGAGTGAACACTATGAAATATAAAATAAAAAAAATATGGCTGGGAAGTTTCTCTCTACACCTTTGTTTGTACATACAGTAGCTTTTGAAAGCTGTCTTGGGTCAGGTAAGTGGCATAGTGGTTAAGGTGGCTGGATTAAGGTGTCTAGATACCATCTAGTGGACAGCATGACTCTAGTGCCAGAACTGGTGACTTGAAAGACACTCTGGGCATGTGTGTACACATTCCAAAAATCCTGAGAAGAGAGCGGAGGGTAGAGATTGTGGTATGACTATCCCTTCTTGGGGATACTTTCTTACTTTTTCTCTGCTGCTCTTTGGTGAGTACACATACCCTAATGCAAAAAGCAAAAAAAAAAAAAAAAAGACCAAAAGCTGTCTTTTTTTTTAATTTATTTCTCTTTTTTGGGGGAGAGATTTTTCGCAATATCGCACGTGCGCTCGCCAGTCAGACAGAGAGAGACATAAAGACAGAAAGCGAGAAGTCACCCCCAGGGGGGATGGTCACGCTGCAATCCCTTCTCCTCCATTCTCCTCTTGGGATCTTGGGCACGCACGCACACGTACCCGGCATGAGTTTTAAGCCACCGGGTCCAGGACGTGAACCGCGGTCGACTACGTGGGAGGTCCAGTGACATAGCCATTATGCTACTTGCTGGTTCCCAAACTGTCTTGACTCTTGTGTGAGGCTCCATAAAGATTATGCATATATTTCTTCAATTATAATAAAGAGCTCTTGCTTGATACACTGTTCATATACATGAAAGCTGCTCTTCAAAACTTCCCTTGTGTTTTTAGCTATTATTAACTTGTGACCATAAATACTCATTGCTTGATCTGGTTATGCTCACACAATTTTCTGAAGTGTAAACCTAGACCTACTAAAACATTTAGCTCCACAACAATGGTCTTTACTTGGGCTGAACTTTCACTGCTGGAATGAAGGGAAAGTAAATTAAGTAACTGCTGATTTTGTCTGCTATTCCTGTTCTTTGTTTCTCTTTTATAAACATTGAAAATTGTAGGAAAAATATTTGAAATTTGGTAATACATGTAAATGATTTATTATTTTAAAGTGATATTTGCATGGTGTCTAAGATAACTTCAAATTCATTTAGCAAACAGCTAAGTGATTAGTAGGAAGAAAGGATCAGATTAATTTGTTATGAACATTTTCCTTAGAATGGCTGGCTCAGCACAAACCTTCTTCATTGAAGCTTTCCCTCTGTACTCCCTTGATGATACACTTTACATCACATATGTTTTCTCTAAATTGAAGATTTTGAGGTTATTAGGCCTTAGTGCAAGGAACCAAATGTTAATGATGATGTTTCCAATCGGTCAAAAACTTTAAAGCATTTACTATATACCATGCTTTATTAAAGTCTAAGCTATTTGTAAAATCCCTTAAAATCTTTCCAACTGGGCATAAATCACTTCCATAAATCTTCTCATAGAGAAGAGAGATAGGCCTCATTTTTTTTTAGTGAGACTGTTCCTGGTGAGCTTTGTGAGATGAATATTTTTTTTTCTTTTTTTGTACTCTGGTTTACTTGGCATTGCTGAGTAACAACCACAATAGCCATATTTAGTTAATGACAAGAACAACCAATTCTTAGCTCCTAGTTTTATGGATTGGCAATCCGAACAGGATTTAACTGGTGGTCTGCTGATCTAGGTGACAGCACACTTCTGCATCCTCGAACAGCTGCCTGGTCAGTAGAGGTCTGGCTGATAGTTGGCTTTGATAGCTTTGTTCTTCTCCACATGGCTTCACATCATCCAGCAGGTTAGCGTAGGCTTGCACACATACACTCACAGGTTAAGATGTTTCAGGAACACGATGGAATGTGAAGTCTCTTGGTGGTCAGGTTCATATCTGATAGGAATGTACACCATTCCCATCATAACAATATCCAAAGCCTTCTTGGATTCAAGAAGTTAAAAAACATACTCCCCATCTCGATGAGAGGAATTTCAAAGAATCATGCCATTTTGATACCTTCCACACAGCAGAGTGGAAGAATTTAAATCATCCTCTATGTAAGTATTCTATAAATTAAGTACTTAATGGCTAACCATGTCTTTTCATTATTTTTATTTCTATAAACAAAATGTTCATACATCAGAATTCTAAAAATAAAAATGCCTGTTGTTTTCATGGTAATCTTTGCTTTGTGAAACATTCTCACCACTATTTTCTTAAATTGTCATTTAATACTTACAAAGTTACCAAGATCATTGTTGCTGAAAACGTTAGTTGGTTTAATAAAGCAGTTTAACATCAATACACCTGCCTTTCTTCTATGCTCCTCAAAAATTTTGTTATTGTTTAATAAAATATTCTCCAGATTTTTTTCTCTTACATTTAATCCTAAAGAATTTTACCATTCCATAGGAAGAAATAGTACCTTTAACAGATGTGGGGGGGAAAAGTCACTAAAAAATGGATATAGCTAATCTCTATTGATTTTTCTATGTAAAAATGCATCAGGACTTTTCCAATAACCCAATTTTTCAACCATTAATGAATTTAATTTTAATATTTACATGTAAAACGATAAAGTTTATTATGAGTAGTATAATTTGCTTCATCTAGTTGGAAAAAGGAGACGAATTTATGTAAAAGTTTGTACTTTTATAAACAATTGTTCTACCTCCATATTATCTGATTCAGAAATCATTGCTTAATTATTTGACTCTACAACTAGACACAAGAAAGCTGGGAAAGCCAGTAGCTGGCCTCACCAATTCATCATAATATCCTTAAGTTTTTGCTTAACACATAATAGATCATCGACAAATGCTTTCAAAGGAAAAACAATGAGTAGAAGTTATTTTGGATATTAAACTGCATAAATTACAAACAATGTGGTATAAATATTAACTAGCTATTTTATGTCAAATATCCCCAAATTTTAAAATATATCCTATTTATTTCTTATGAATCAATCTGTCATGGAAAATAGGTGTTTATATTTTATATTTTATTTTACTTTTTAAAAAATTGCCAGAGGGCATGCCAGAGAAAGACAGAGGAGCTGAGAAAGGAAACACTCTCTGTTAAGGGTGTGGCCACACTGAAATCCCCTCTTTTCCAGCTTTCCACTTTTTCTCTCAGAGTCTCTGTCTCTCTCTCTCTGGTGAGTGCACATTCCCTAAGGCATAAATCTCTTAAAATATAATAAAGTAACAAATGGGATGGTATAAATACTCAACCAATCATTACTCTTTGAGATTAATTCTACATAATCATTGTCTATGGTGTTTTTGTTGTTGTTGTTTTTCTGTTTTTTGTTTGTTTGTTTGTTTGGAATGGAATTTCTAAGTGCTTTTTATGGGGGGAAAAAAGGACTTTAAGATCAAAATGTTTGAAATATGCTGCTTACCATAGTGCTTTTGGGAACCTTCTGTCCCCATTATGTACCCAGGTTTCCAGAGCTGAATACAGTCTACCATCACTCTTGGACTATGTTACTCTAAGGGGAATGGTAGCATATAGTTCTACTAAGTACATTTTGTGAAGTAGAAATATGTTAGAAATCAGAATAAATTGACCCAATATATTCTGAAATTTGTCAGTTACAGAAATCAAACATCAATTCATTTTGAATTGCTTTAAAGAAATGTATGATCTCTTAGTATTTAAAAAACTTTGCCTCATTTTCCTTATTAAAAATTTATAGAAAGACTTTGTAAGAGTGTTCTTAACACTTGTTTGTAAGCCTTCTAAAATGTTAGAGTACGTTATTTCAGTCTGTTTATGCTGTGATTTAAATAACAATTGAAGTGATTGTTAAATTTGCTTAAATCTAAGTCTTCCTCTGGAAGTGGGTTATGTTTGAAGGAATACTTCTAAAAGATCTATGAAGATATATTATGCTAAGAACAGAAACATGCTTCCATGAGAAAAACTACAAACTCCTGTATGTTCAGACGTTACTTTTAGACATATTTTCGAGTGTTGCGAATAGATACAAATAAAAATGTTAGTACATATTATGATGGAGTTGTGGATGTTATTTACTTGTCAGATATGTGAAAATGCTATTATCATAAGTAGATTTCAATTTCAGCAGCATGGTGTTTTAACAAATATAAATCACATCCATAGGTATTGTTAGAAACAATCCTCTTTTTGATGTTAAGATTTTAATAACTCTAGTATCCTCCACCTGTGTACAATGATCTGAATAGTTAGCAGAGTTATGAATTTTATTGTTGTGCTTAATCCAAAGTTTTAATTGGAATAATTAAACTTTTGTGTGTTTTAATTGTGTGAATTCTTCTATTGCAATAGTTAAAATAACAGACTTCCGTCTATTCCCAAGGCCGATCCTTGCTGACTGAGTACTGCATTGCAAGCAGACCACTTACCTTTGTCGTTTTCTTTTGTAATGGGGCTTTCAGTAATAGCAACCTATATAACTTGAATGTTGTTGAGACTGATGAAAGAATTACTGAAAACATTTTAATAAACTTGATTAAAAATAATGATAATAACTAGAAAAGTTGATACACAAATTCACATGTAATTCATTTTCTATATATTCTGGAAAGTACAATGTATTTATTAAAATATTCAAGTGAGGGAACCAGCAGTTAGCGTAATGGCTATGTCGCTGGACTCCCACGTAGTCGACCGTGGTTCATGTCCCGGACCCGGTGGCTTAAAACTCACGCCGGGTGCGTGTGCGAGCGTGCCCAAGATCCCGAGAGGAGAATGGAGGAGAAGGGATTGCGACGTGACCATCCCCCCTGGGGGGTGATTTCTCGCTTTCTGTCTCTATGTCACTCTCTGTCTGTCTGGCGAGCGCACGCGCCCTACAGTGAAAATCTCTCCAAAAAAAAAAACAAAAAACAAAATTCAAGTGATATTCTATACGTTAAAGAAGATTACCTTATGGGGCCACCAGGTGGCGCTGTGATTGCAGCACTGAACTCCCGCATGGCCAACC